TTTGTTCTGGACTTTATTTACAGCCTCTTTCATTTTTTCTTGAGACCATTCTCCGGCATCAGTCTTTCTTCTGTACGTGCGAACCATCTACAATGAAATAAATATAAATCAATAACTTCAAACATGTCATAAATCAGTTTAAAAGTGTGATCCGATTCGCCCCTGACGATATGATCCGATTAGCCCCATAATCAAGACTTTTGAAATAAATATTTTAGACGTTAACCTCTAAGATCATACTTAAAAGCGAATTGGTTCTCTAATATAGACACCTTGCTTAACAATATAAACCAATATAGTTGAGTTATAACACAAATCCGCAATATGACACAAAGAAATCGTAAGTACGTACCTTAGATGAGCGCCAAAATTGCGACACACACAAACGACCGAGTCGCTGACTAGCGGCGTCGCCACTGATTCACAAGTGCGATCGAAATACTGCCTATGTCGGGAGGTGCGGGGTGAGAGGAGATACGCAAAACGCCGGTTGAGTGCGTTCTATGTGAATGCGATATTTGAATTATCAACAGATTTCTTATTTTGATCCGATTCGCCTTGTGATCCGATTCGCCTCGGTCTACCCTAAGGCTAATATCTTTAGAATGTAGTCTTCTCCTTTACAGTATTCGCAATTTACTCCACTCTCATACCAGTTTCTTGTGATAACTATCCAAATAATTAATAACGGATCCCACTTTCAATAAATCACATTCATTTCACTGAATTAAACTGTTTTAAGTTAATTCCTGATGTTACTTGAAACACTGTTAAGTTAATTCGGATCAGCACATGCGGACTAATATGGAATGCCTCGTTTCCAGTAAAAAGGGTCTCCCGTTCTCTACACTCACCATACGAAACACAACAGCATTAAGCTACTATTTTAGGCTAGTATGCTGTGAGAGCGTGGTTTTTCTCCGGTCAGGACGGCCTATACCTGCCACAATCATAATACAGCCGCAAGCAGTGGTTAGTAATGTAAGAAAATCCGGCACCTCATTTTCAACTGAGGATTTCGTAAGAGGCGGTTAGGAATGTAACAGAAAAATCTTCATCATCATTACAGCCCTTCACAAGTCCACTGTTGGACATAGGCCTCCCCCAGGGAATGCCACAAAGCATGGTCCTGAGTCACCTGCATCCATCAACTTTCTGCATTTGTGACCAAGTCGTCACTCCACTTAGTGGGGGGCGCCCAACGCTTCGCCTACCGAAGGATATTTACGGCTCCTGACATCTGATCAGCATCTTATATAAAGTATGAACTGAAGAACATGTGACGGGAAGGAGTGTTAATTTGCGAGATGTCTTTTTAATATAATAAGGGTAACAAACGACCACACAGCCCACCTGATGGTAAGTGGATGTTGTGGCCCATAGACATCTAGATTTATCTTTGATAAAGAATCAAAACGTAAACTCGTTGTCACCCCTGAGGACTAAGATGGAATGCCTCGTTTCCAGTAAAAAAGGGTCTCTGGATCTCTACACTCCCCATAAGAAACACAGCAGAATTAAGCTGCCATTTTACGCTCGCATTTTGTGAGAACCTGGTCCTTCTCCTGTCGAGCAGACCCATTCGTTCTACAACCATACTGCTACAGCGTGGGTTTAATACGTATAACATTATCTACGGTCTAAGGTCGTCAATATGCCAGCTAAGCGTGACCATTAAATTTAAGTTAGATTTACAGTTATTTTTAATACCTACCCACTTTCATTTCCATTAATTAGTATAAAATTCCATAACACATTAAGTCCGCCCATGTAACTCTTAGATGGTGTCTTACGGTAAAGATTGAATAAATAAATAAAGGTAAATACTCACAATAAAGGGAGACGCCCAGTAGTGGAGTTTTACAGCTGATAGTTATAGAGTAGAAGGTATGCGTCAGCAAATATTTTCCTATCGTTCACGCTATGAAGTAACTGATAAATGACAAAATTTATCAGAGCCATTACATAGCACGTAAACTAAATGTGTATTTATTTTACATTTAGATTTTTATTACTCCGCATTATGGAAGATCTAATTGTTTTAAGTATTATTTGCATCAGCAAGTGTTTTACAATATAATCTACTAGACGATACCCTCTTGCTTCGCTGGGTGCACTATAATATACATTGTGATAAAATAAAAAAATATGATTGCGGAACCTAGATGTAACATATCAAGATTTTTTTTATGTTGATGAACTATAATGATCTGGACTAATTAAGTTCTTTACGCGGTAGAGCCACGGTGCTGCTGCTGTAGCATGAATGGGTCGGCTCGACTGGGGAAGGATTACACTCTCTCAGAATAACACCGTATAATAGCAGCGTAATGCTACTGTATTTCGTGTAGTGAAGCGGAGCCACATTTTTAATGGAATCGAGACATTCCATGTTAGTCCTCAGGGGTGACAACGCATTGGCATTTTGATTCGTGGGCTCGTTTGTCACCCAATGCTATAAAAAAACTAGTTAAGTTTTAGAGTTATCGTGATGAGTCAGCCACTCAGTCAGTCAGTGGTAGGTATTTCGTTTTAATCATGTTAATAATCATGTTTCTACGTATAAGAAATATAACAACCAAGCTGGTTACGCTATGAACTGACTGATAAATAATAAAAATTATCAGCGCCATTACTATATTACTTACGTAATACTTGCTTATATTTCTATTGAAAATTTTATTAGGTACTCAATCTTAAAAAGAGAAGATCTTTTTGTAATAAATATTTTTGGGTGTGCTGTCTAGTTTGGTTAATCCGAAGTATAATTATAATTATTTAACCCCTTGATGGTTCAACCTATTAAGCATTAAACCTCTTAATACAATTTTCAAGTTAAAATACTTTAAAAAAACGTTTTAAATATTTTAAGACCATATTCAATAACCAAGCTGTAACATGTTTGAGAAACACTATAACTGATAGTAGTTAAGAGTTAAAAGTAGCGGTTAAAGATAAGAACACAAGCATTTTTAAACTTATTTGGTTACCGACTGATATTAGTAATGTTAGTAAGATGCATGCTGTTAGTTACTGCTGCTTTAAAAGATAAAACTAAGCTATTGGAGAGAAGAGGAAAGGAATTTAAGGGTATTAAAAATGTTTAAAGCATTTAAAACACAAACATAAACACTCACGCCTGTCACCCAGAGGGGTAGCCAGCGACTACAGGCTTCCATTTACCACGATTCCGGCATACTTCTCTCGCTTCCTCCACATACATATACCGACGCATACATGCTCGTCGGTTAAGGGTTATTCTTAATTTGGCCCATTTTTAATAAATCGCCAATTTGGTCGACAAATTTTCACCTAGGACTTCCCTTTCTGAATCTTCCAATCACTTCTGCAGCATATATTTGCTTTGTCAGTCTTTCCTCATTCATTATTTCTACATGACCAAACCACCGAAGAATTCCTTTCTTAATCCTGGTCACTGCATCATCTTGCAAACCACACTCTTCTTTTATCATACAGTTTTTGCCCCTTTTACTCAGATTCAGCCCTAACATAATCCTTAGCGACCGCATTTTTACTGCATTTATTCTTCTCTCGTACTTCTTCTGCCACACGCAACTTTCACTACCATACGTTAAAGTAGGGACTAATACAGCATTGTGAATTGCCATACGTGCCTTTTTTGATACATTCCGACTTTTCACAATAGATTGTAGAGCTCCATTTACTTTATTTCCTGCATTCACTCGTCGTTCAATATCCTTATCATATCTCTCATCCGAAATATACAAATTCATCTACTTACTAGACCATCTTCCCTTATATTCTTATTTCACATATCGTTTTACTTTCTTCTCTTTCAAAAACTCTAACTTTCGTCTTACTTGTTACTACACTTTTAAATTAATTAAAAGCATTTCATTTTTTCAATATTATAATAATAATTAAAAAAAAACAATAATGTCCTGGTTGTGCTTGTCCTTGTCCTTGACTGAAATTCAGTCGCAGTGACAAGTTCCGACGGAGTCATCTGCACAGGATAGAATTATAGTGCAAGAGTGTTTGCACAAGCACAGGTTGTGCCCTCTCAATTATCTCACTCCCATATTGCGATGGCACGGAAATCCGAAACGACCGGAGGTACTTTAGGCGCCGGACCATCGGCTTTATTTGATTGCGGAGGCACGAGAGTAAAACACCGCCCAACTGACTGACCTTGGTCTGCCACTAAATATTTCTCAACACGAATACCCAAGAAGTAATTTTTTGACTCGGACTGGGGATCAAACCCGCTCAAAACTATCCGAAATTAGGCGAAGGAAAGATGACCAGACAGTCCAGACAGACAGTATTTTTTTAAAGATGTTAAGTGAGATTATTTTTATTTTTTTATTAAAGTTTCAACATTACCTACAAGCAGTATACCTACTGATTAATTGATAGGTAGATAGACTATTGAAAATCATTGAATAATGGCTGAAAGAAAGTAAGAAACAGTCTAATCCGAAACGAAGAAATTATGATGAACTGTAAAATATATTTCATAAGACATAAAAACGGGGAGGGGGGAAACCATTTCGTCGGTCGAATCACGAAGGGGCGTATCCCACAAATATTCGATTTTTAGTTATCTCCACCATCGTAATCTATAAGGCAAGTTTTATAGCGTCACGAAAGGGCGTAATTTAAAACACACCGGAAACAGATTTACAAACAATTACGAAAAGCCCTATCTGCTATTCATCCCAATTTAAAAATCACGAATAGTCGTATCCACCAGTTACGCCTATTCTTACCTGTTCCCATGCAATTTTTTTTCACGAAGAGGCGTAACCTATCTAACGTGATTACGCGAGTGAAACAATGACAGGTCAAGACGTGTTAAGCAGTCGAGCGAAGTTAGTTGCAAGTTAATAAGGTGCATTGTTTGTTTACGAATATTAAAATTAATAAAATTCTGTCTTCAAAGTGAATGAATACTTATTTTAAGAGTTACTTTTATTTGTGTTTTATACAAATCACAAGGTTGCGTATGCAAGAAAATGTTCCTCAATACTTTGGGAATTTCAGAAAAGACGTTTCGCACAGCTTTGCAAAAATTAAAGAACACCGGTGTAGTAGAAAAAGACAGAAGAGGAGGAAGGCAAGAGGTCTATCATGAAAGGGATACTCAGCTGCGATCACTCATTACTGAACATATTAACAGATTTCCGCGTGTTGAGTCTCATTATTGTAGAAAAAGTAGTACAAAAGAATATCTCCACCATGATTTATCTTTGAAAAAAATATATGGTATGTTTTTAAAGGAGTATAACCAACCCGTAAGTATGACACTTTATAGAAATGTATTCAAAGGCATGAATTTATCGTTCCATAAACCAAAAAAAGACCAATGCAGTTTATGCATGACATACAGAGAAGGTACAAGCGAGGTGAAAGAGAAGCTACAGAATAAATATGATGCACATATTATAGAAAAAGAAGAAGTACGACGAATTAAAAACGAATGCAAGAATCGAGCAATACAAAATATAACCACTTGTTGTGCTTCGTTCGATTTACAGCAAGTCATCTATTTGCCACAATCCAATGAAAGTGCTCTTTTTTATAAAAGACGTTTGGCTAATTATAATTTCACAATTTATGATTTAGCCTCCAAAGACTGTATATGCAACTTATGGAATGAGACAATCAGTAGAAGAGGTGCCTCTGAAATTTCTACTTGTGTTTATTATTTCTTAACAAATTGTGATAGAAAGAGTGTGAAAGAAGTATTCTTATTTTGCGATGGCTGCTCAGGCCAGAATAAAAATTCCGTGATGGCGGCTATGCTCTTATACTTAATAAATAATTGTGAATCTATTGAAGAAATTAGTTTACGATACTTCTGTTCGTTCCATGGGCAAAGCGAGGGCGATTCTGTCCATAGCGCGATAGCATTTGCAATGGCAAAGGCTGGGAACGTCTTTGTTCCATGCCAATTGGAGCCGATCATACGATTGGCACGCAAAAATCCATACGAAGTCAAGGTACTCAATTACAATGATTTTAAGGATTTTAAAAATCTTGCCTTAAAGTTAAGGTTACTTAAATTAAAAAACGATAACCAGACAGCCGCCCTCTTTAAATGGACAGATGTTATGGAGTTAAAAGTCTCACGATAGTCTCAAAGTAGTCTATTTTTTAAAACGAGTCACAAGGATAAAGAATACAGATCGATATCAATAAAAAAGACAAGATGTTAAATGGCTGAAGGAAGAGGTGGGACATTTAAATAAATCTCATTATGAGATATCTAAAGAAAAATATAACGATTTAATTTCTATGTGCAGGGGAGAGACCCCTTTGATAAGATGCCGGGAATATCAAACTTATTATGAAATCCTACCACATCAATAAGATATTGTTCCATTACTTAATATTACAGTCTTTCTTTATTTAATAGTGTTTTAATTTATAGTCTTTTATTTCTTTTATAGTTAAGATAGCCGGACGTAAATGTTATTTTGAAATATTTGCACATGACAAAAGGGCGTAAGTGAATTTTTTTTCAAAAAAAAGGAAATATATCTACAAGTAACTAAAGTAAACTAATAAACTAATTTAATATCAAAAGAGGATTAGTTATCAATCCTAACGACAGTCCTGTAAACTGCGTAGTAGTTTTACATATAAAGTTACGACGGTGCATCACGGTGGACTTTATTGAAAATCGCTCTACTGTAAAATTGACTAAAATCACTTACGCCCCTTCGTCATTCGACCGACGATTTGATAGCCGACCACTAATCACTATCAGAACTTCAGAAATCAGCTGTATTAATTTGTTTTATTAAAAAATTAGCTGGATTTTATGGGTTTTAATAATTTTGCGCGGAACCCTTATTATTTTTCTTTTTCATAGTCAGTGCAAATCCCGTCAAAATCGGTACAGCGTTAGTAGGAACAAATAGACAACAGACAACAAAAAGTACCACTTAAAAAACTTAAAAATTGTTTTTTTTTTTTATAGAATTATTTCTATACGCATTTAGTAAAAAGCTGTTATTTTGACATTACGAACAGAAACTTAATATTCTTTTAATTGTATAGATTATTCTTTATTCTAAAGAAATAAATAAAACGTTCATGGAAAAGCTCAACAGTACCTAGTCTTCTTAAGTAAGTGCCATAAAATATAACAGTCAAGCATAATAACGTAAATGTTGGGCGAGGCCTCCTCTCATTTCTGAGAGGGTAATTAAGTATTTAGTCAGCCGCGCCGCACTGGTCCAGTGCTTGTTGCCGGACTGCATCTGTCGTACAAACATTTTATTTTTCAGAGATGTCTTCCTTCACTGCCGATTGGTAATCAATACTAATAATCAGTACTGTTTCACAAAAACAGATGCTGTTAGTTTTAGGCAAACACATATTTTCTCTATGGCAGCTGTAATTAGGGTTGCCACCTTTTTCTTTTAAATAGTATTTTTCGCAAAAAATATGCAAAAATACAATACTTTTGAGAAATTTAGGAGAAAAAATTCACATTTATTTCTAATCTTTATGTATTGTTCAATTGTCAATGATGACCTTTAAAAAATTATAGGAGTCTGAGCAATTTAGATTCATATTAAAACAAATTAATTTTTAATTAGGTATACACATGCATTTCTTTCTTCTCTCAATTTTACATTCATGGCGGAAGCAATTCTTGCCGTAAAACTTGTTCCAGACTTCCAATTACAATTAATATAAAAAAGCACGACAGTTGAGTTAGGGATAAAAATGTATTATTTTTTTTACTACATTATTTTTCTATAATATATAGGTAGTAAAATTTACTGAAATAGAGTACCCAAGATACTATATATTATATTACGGGTGGGAAGTGGTAACCATAGCTGTAACCGACTTTAAATAAAGATAAATTCGATATTAAGTAATGCTGACGTCTATTCAGATGACGTGATAAATGTGTTGTTAAAAACCACAATCCCATCAATATCCAATAAAATATACATTATTGGTTTTTCAGCCAAAGTTACTTATTAAATTATTATGTAAGAATGATGCTGCAGCATTATGCGAATGCCTGCAATAATAACTACGTGAAACCTACGTAGACGGACTCCTAGATATAAACTAAATCCTATCACCTACTAACTCCTAAAAAGCTTCTGTTTTGTGCAATGTTCACGTATGTTGTAGTGTCGCTACAAGGAGACTTAAGCATCATCTGGTTTAATAATTTAGTTTACAGACAAATTGAAACATACCTACATGAGAGTAATTAATTTTTTATTACTTTTTACATCCGAACAAAGCGAAGTCTTCATAAGCTTAATAATTCAATCGCTTTTCTTTATAACTTTTATGAGCTCATATTATGTTTGGACTAGGAGAGTGCTTGAAATTCGATAGCAATTCATAAAATTTTTAGGTTTGTATATTAAGCGAGCTGTATTTAACTTTCAACCTTACGAGTACGTTAATATACAAAATGCAGATATCTATTATACAAAATATTTTCCTTGACATACACTCCACACACTACATTCACAGCTTTTTTAGTTTCTGTCAACACTGTCAGTAATTATTCGTTGGCAACAATTTCAAGTTACTAGGCTAAGTGTTTGACGTTAGCATAATGAACGTCAACAGAAGCAAATGAATTTGTAATACATCTATACCTATATAAAAATCAATTGCGGTTCTTTAGACTCGTTAAGGCTTATAAACGGTAGTAAAGCCATTTAAAAAAATAATGTTTGAATTTGAGTGGGTCCTTGGATTTCATAGTTTTCGGTTTCTTAGTTGAATCGACATTAGCTCTACATAAACTTGCCGACTTGCAAACAATGCCAAACCTCACACTAATCCGTGAGCGCTTCGTACTTAAAAATGGTACAATTTTTTCTCTTCACTTATTAAAAAAAGATAACCATCTTAATATGACTGATTTGCTTTCCGAATAAGCAGTATCAACTGTTCAGAACATACGTAAAGTAATATATAAATACAAACTTACACGTCGGAAATCTTTCTTTACTTATTTTATAGAAAATGAGCGTGAAGCTCACATGATAGTTATTCACTACCCTCACCCATGAATATGTGCAACACAGGCACGGGGAAATTGCAAGCGCATTTCCGGCCTATCAGCTTAATATAATAGATAGTTAATAACGATAGATCGAGGTGATTAAGTATGAACATTAAAAAAGAAGTTAGTATTTACTATGGTTTTGATTAATTCTCGAGGTGAATAAATATACGTATAAAAAAATGTTTAACCAACAAGTTTGCCGTAAACTGGCGGCGTAAGAAAATTCGCTACCCCATATTAACGTGTGCTCGTAAGCTGCGTCAGACAGGAACTAAAACAGCACCTTCCATACAATAACTCAACACAATAACAACTGTGGTTGCCAAATGCCAACCCACTTGGCAACCGTGACAAGTATGTCAAATATCCCTTCAACAGGCCTCGCTGAAATATCCCTTCTGTGAGGCAATCTATGTAGATATAGATTGCCTCACAGAAGGGATATTTCAGCGAGGCCTGTTCAGTAGTGATACTTCGATAATTTGTAGCTAGCTACTGAATAATGAACTAATTGCCTTATAACCCGCTATACGAATAAATTATACGTAGGTTTATTGAAATTCACTATTTTATCTCTAGCATATTTGAGTTAATTGTACTGCCGACCGTGGAAGGCGTGACATCTTTCCGGCGTTTCTCACAGTTGGCTTAATATGACACACACCTTGAATGGTCTAAAACTTATAGGCGTTCTCTTACGATCACAAGGAGATCTGCCGAAGATGCCAAGCTTAGCAGGCAGGTTTGCAGCCACAGTTACAGACAGACGTCTACCAGTGGACAGTCCTCTGTCGCCTTTTACGCTGCCTACGGGACAATATGAAGTAGTGGATTTTGTTACACCGCCACTAGGTACCTGTACAATTTTAAAATTGAACTATTCTAAAATATGTTTTAGATGTTAAAATGTATAACCATACACTTTGCATAATAAAATATAATTATATCATCAGTATCATCATTACAACAGATAACAAGTTCACTGCTAAACATAGGCCACCCCAAACGGACGCCACAGAGTACGGTCTGAAGCCACTTGCAACGACTTCCTGCATCTCTTACCAGGTCGTCACTTCATCTGGTTTAGTGGGTAGCCGCTCAACCCTTCGTTTAACGGTACAAGACTGTAATTATGTACGTAGTGTTATCATAATTTGTTAACTATTTCGCTTTTAAAAAGGTTATCTATAAGGTCGTTTGTGAAGGATTTAAAGTAGTAATTAAAATATTATTCGCAATGTTCAACGACGTTGAACGAAAACACTATATAAGATAAAGAAAAACTTCGTCGAGCTTGTTAAAGATTTTCTAGATAAAAACAAGGTTATTAACAATTTTATATAGGTATTTAAATTTATAGTTTGTATAGTAAAGATGTACTTACAATCCAAATTTGAATTATCTGTGAGTGGGATCATTATGATGGGCTTTTAATTTAATCAAATTAATTTTAGGTGGGGAACGTGACGTAATTTATAAGATAATTTACAATAGCTAGATACGTAGCAGTTTAAGTGCTTGTTTGCTATTAAAGATCATAATATTCTTGCCACCTTTTTCATTTTTCTTTCTTCGATGAAATCTTTACACCTTTTTCGATAAAATTATTATTTTTTATATTTTACCAACACATTACGTTAATGTCATGCAATTATTCCTGCTTTAATATGAATGCCATAAGGCAAATTCCAGTCCAGCCATTGATTATATAAGCATTTTTGGAAAAGCGCTATAAAATAAAATACCAAATTTCATTGCCTAAAGACAAAGATAAACCAAAACGTTTCGGCACCTCTAAAGACTCTATTAAGAAGATAAAAAGAAAGCTGGCAATATTTGTTCGAATCAAATGAGTTTCCAAAATCATCTTCACACTCATGGTGGCTTTATTAGCGGTTCTGCATATGGAGACACATCACATTTAAATATCGCGCTAAAAGCGTCAATCTACATACATTCTATCGTGCAAACCCTAAAAGTGATTTATACCGAGACCCTATTCGATTGAAGTAGATTACAAATAATGAATAAAATTGCATACGGAATGAGTAGACTGGGACCGTCCGTGAGCATGGG